ACTGAGCTCAGATTTACAGTGCATGGTGTTGCCTTCTGCAGCGGCATTCACAACTAAAAAAGTCAGATTAGTGCACAGCATTGCGCATAATTAATACATTCTTCTGTGTCTTTCTGCCTAATTTTCCCTTCAGTGTTAAAAGAGAGAAATTGTCATAGACTCAATGAGAAATGATTGGCTTTTAAGTGGAAGGCTTGATATTTTCCCGTCTGTGCAGCAACCTTATTTGTCTTTAGTTTGCTTTAAAATGTCAACATTATACAACTTTATTGGCAGATTATCACAGAAATCCGGGATGCAATTTACAACCGATGCCTTGTTGAGATCAAGCATCGCAAAACACTTTGTGCAACAGCGTTAAGATAAAGGTTTAGATAATGTGAGGGTAACATCTTCCTGTTTCCCCTGCGTGCGGCCTACAAGACAATATGAAAATAGGGCCTAGTTGCCTCTCGTAAGCGTCTTTTTCCCCTACAGTCCTGTCGCATGTCACACTCGTGGAGAGAGGAAGAAATAGAGAGACAGACAGAGAGACGGAGAGGAGGGTCTGAAATATGCATCCACCGGGCTGCACAAAGTACACACACAACCACACATGAGTTATGGTTGTGGGGATTCACCTTGGGAGGACAGTTTATATAACGTTTAGTTTCCCACAAAGAAAAAAAGACAGGTGAACCTAAACTTTGGTCATAATGTTGATAAATGATAATAAATCTGTTGTGATGTTCACACCGCCCGTCCACTCAGATTTTAGCTAAAACTTTGAAAGTGATGAAATATTGATATAGTACACAGGAGGATTTGATGTAAGTGAGGCAGAATACTGCAGGGTTGTGCATCTATGTTTTATTGAAACATCCATTGCAGCACTCAGGGAGTGAGAGAGAGAGAGAGAGAGAGAGAGAGAGAGAGAGAGAGAGAGAGAGAGAGAGAGAGAGAGAGAGAAAATTGGAAAAAATAAGAGTTGGTGGAGGCTTCGAAAATAAGAGACTGCCGCACGTCGAGGGGGCACGGATACAACTCTGCTGTCCCTAAATTGTAGGGTCCAATAAACACATCAAATCAATACAACAAGTGCCCAAGAAAAATGTGCTACATAGACGGTTAAATAGTTGCTTTAATTCCAACTCTCAACTCTCGACTACAGTGTCACGTGCTTCTCAAAGAAAATAGGGTTTTCAAGCTCTACATTGATGCAAAGGACACTTAAAACTACACTCTGACTCATGTGTGTACTGATTGTCTGGTACATTGCATTAGCATTTAAAAAACAAAACGTCTTTGAAAGTGATCCTCACTTATTTTTCCATTTAGTGAAAGAATAATATTTACCTCTTGACGCTGCTTGACCCAACAACAAAGAACCTCCATTCACAAAGTGAGTCCAGTTCTACAAATAATCAATTTTGCAGAACTAACACCCTCTTCCTCTGACCGGGGAAGCATCATTTTTCATTATACACTCAACGTGGCTGAAAATGCACAGCCATGTTAGGCCTAATTGGTGTGCGAGAGGGGGCCGGCGACTGGTAGGAGTCGGGGGGGGGTTCTTGGCGCTCAATTAGCCTTTTACAGAAAAAGGACCCCACTGCTGCGGGGAGGAAAAAGACTTAAGAAAAACGGTGTTGAGTGAGTGAAGCACGTTGACTGGGCACGGATATTTGTGCCAGCAAGTATTTAAAAAGCTTGCCAAATTCGTTCTGGAATTATATAATATCATGTTGAGGAGAACACAAGATTAATCACAGACTAAGATGGCAGCCAAGAGGACGGCTTCAACGTCATTGTCACGCCGAAATAAAACCACAGCAATCAGTGGCATTTGTGACTGATGGCAGCTCACAAACACAGCTGCGTCCTGCCCCAGTTCTTTGAATTCCTATTTTGTGCCATTACAGTGGAAGTTTGTCCCCGTGTGTCTATTCCTCCGTCGTTCCCTCAATCCGCTCCTCGCCATCTGTCCATTGGCCTTGGCGGCGTGCTTATCCACCATTTTAATTTGCTTGAGCAGTCGTTTTAGCACGTGCACATACAGTAATGCGGCTTCAACAGCATTGCAAACCAATCCGTAGGCAAAGTACTGAGGACGCATCACGGTGCGCCGTGTCGGACGTATACAGGCCTGACGAACCCCGGTAAATGTCGTCGTTTTGTTTTAGGCTTTCCTCTGGGTGCCAATGAAGGCATTCCAACATGAATTGTCTCTGATTATAAAGTTAGCTGAAGGGCAATTTTTGATTGGCTGTATTGTGTTATTCAATTATCACACTGGCCGTGGGTTTGTCCTTATTCATGAGGTTGTATCTAATTTTTTTTAACAATGCACAGATGTGGCTTTGTTATTTTTTAGTCTGCTCGTTGACAGAGCTTTAAGGAATTACAGCAATAACGGCCGTGAATTCCGAACATTCATAAATGGGCAAAGGGGCTTTTGTCGGAGGGAGGTTGACTTGCTACAAATGGTTGCCCTTTGCATTTTGGAAGATACCCACCGGTGGAATGTCCCTCCAAGATGACCTTGCATATCTCCCCTAATTAGGGAGGTTTAAGGCTGCATTCCTTTTAAGACACTAATCCACCTGCTGTACTGGCTACTGGCTAGTCATACAAACACTGTGGCTCTGATATTATTCTAATAGCTTCTCACTTTTAAGTATAGGTGAGTGCATCCAGCGCAATGACCAGGAATGCAGTGGGAGTTACTTTGTTGAGCCTTTCAACTCCTTCATTAGGCAAATGCACCGATTGAATGCTATTTTTTATTGGCCTATGATTTAGCCTTTTTCCTGCAGTGGATGTCTTCTCATCCATCTCTACTGTAGATAGTATCAGCGAGTTCCCTGTTTTGATGTGGAAATGAGCTTGTTAAGCCCGGCCCATAAAATCCCCATGAAAAATTCTCTATTTCACTCCAACGCCAACTCAATTCTTGCATATGGGATGCTAGGGGCTGGGTAATAGATATATAGGGTGACAGAATTCAAGGACTCCCCCGTACTGGTTCCTCTCTGAGATGGAGGAAGATAAAACAGGACCCTCACGCCACACCGTGACAACATCAACCGTTCAAAACGTATTTTTCTTTCTTTTCTCTCTCCTGCCGTTTCATTGTTTCTTCTCATGCGCTTCCTCTCGGTCCCTCTCTTCATTTCCCCGTCAGATAAAAGGCATTACACACATACAGATCGACACATCTGCCCTGACACGCACAAGGTGAATCCAAAATTTTGTTTAATAGACGCTCATAAAAGTCAAAAGAGCCAAGAGCTGGCGTGTGAGAGGACCACCTTGCTGTGCATGTGATACCTAAACACACAAGCGTCAACTTACTGCGCATTTATGCTCCATACAACAACAGCTATCTGGCGTGTTGTTAACATCCACCGGCGTGTCTTTCTGCAGCTCTTCAGTGCACTGTTGTAGTTGCTTGGTGAGTCATACTCTGATGAGAATGTTCCTCAGCTTTGCAAGTACATCTTGTGCTTAAGACAAAGCAGTAGTCTAAGCCCATACCTGATTTATTACAACACACGTGCACATATTAACAGTCGTGTGCAGACAAATGCACACGGCACCAATGGTAGCCAATCCCGCCTGGCTATAATACGCACAAAATGTTCTAGACAGCTATCTGAGAGAAAAATATGCACCTACACACTTGTAGGTCTACAAGAATAGTTGTATTAACTGTGGCAACAGTAACCACGGTTTCCCTTGCCTTTGTAAGTGTTTTTTCGGTGTTATCGATCTTAACCATTTACCGTTATTGTTCCTCCTTAATCCCTTGCTACTTGTATTCAGGCAGCATTAGAATGTGAGCTTGGGATTGGTCCGTCTGTGCAATAGTGAAATGGGCCTTGATGGTAAAGTGCTCTGGGGAACACATTGTACCACGCAGAGTGTTCTGTAGAGCAGAAGATTACTAGTGCACTTCTCACAGGTAATCACTGACGAACAAGCCAATGAATAGAGAGAAGAACCTACACACACACACACACACACCACCCACACAAATACTGCAAAGATCAACTGTGACTTGAACCCCTCTTCCCAGACTGAGATCATCACCACTGAAATGGAGTGAACACAAAAACAAAAAAAACTGCTCATCCTGACTATGTTATCACGTTTGAGTGACCCTGACAAGATGACGGGGCATAAAGGAGCACAAAAAGCAGCAGATCCGCAGTAATTACAAGCAGTATGAATATGTTACGTAATGTGACATTCAGTTATAAATGCAGTCACTTGAATGCTATCTCTGTGGAGCACAAGCTTCACTCATTTCTTATCCGCATCTGATAACCTCTGTAGGTGTTTGCAGCAAATTAAATGTGTTTACTGGAAGGAGGTATTTCCTTTTGGCAATGCAGTCAAGTAAGCAGTCTTGTCCCAAGTGGGGAAAAAAAGCTCAGGGGGTCAAAAGTTTACATTGTTTGCCTACAGTGAGCAGTTGTGAAGCTCTACTGATTTAATGGCAGCAGAGACCATTAGCAAGCAGGAGTATAGGTGAGTGGTAAAATCAATCATTTGAAAGTCTGGCAGGTAATTAGCGTCATCTGGAGTAATTATTACAACTTTGATAAGCTCAACACCCAAAAAAGCGTTTCACTATTAAGCATTCTGAATTTGAAAATGTTTTTTCCTCAACATAAAGGACCGACTGCGTATCGGGAGTTGAGCTTGATTTATAACTCAGACTTGTGTTTGATCGTAAGCTGAGGAAGGATTCCACGGATTAGAACAACGCCAATTAGACATTCACCCTGGCGACGGTAACGACAGATTAAGCCATGAAGTATTCTGAACACTGCAATTCTAAAATTCTAAAAGGGACGAGACTTTTTGGAAACTCAATCAAGAAGCAAATTCAGGTTTTCTGATATTAATGCTGATTAAAAAAAAGAAGGCCGCTTTTGTTTGGTCACAATAGCATTCAGACACAAACACTGTACACAATATACCACATGCACACAAATGCATGGTCCAAACCCTACCTGCACCAGATTCCAGCCCTTCAAGGACTCAGCGATGATGGAGGTCACAGAGGGGCAGACGCCGCCAAATATCATGAGGTGCTTGGGACCGTAGCATATGGCATCAAAGAAGGCCCTCAGCCCCTTGGCGTTGTCACACTACAGACAGAGGGAGGTGGATGAGGGGGGGGGGGGGGGGGGAGGGGTAGAGAGACAAAATAGGGTTAGAACAATTGCTAAAAAAGGTTCTGGTTGTTCTTGTCAATGGAATAAGTAAATGTTATTTGAGAAAGGATTCGAAGATGCACTCTGTGAGTCAATAAGTATGTAATAATATCCAATTGTACAAGAACAACCACGGACAGTTGACTCATAACGTATACCAAAAGTCAGCGTGACATTCAAAAAACATTTAAATTACATAGTAGTGCTGTGGCATATTCAGTATGGTAAATGGTAAATGCAGCCATGTGTGTCTGTGTGTGTGTGTGTGTGTGTGTGTGCGTGTTCTGAGACCATCATGTAAAAACGATGGATCTCATAGGCTCATAGAGCAAGCCCCCCATTCTGATCCAGTGCAGCAGAACGCAGCCATTTCATGTCACTATAGCAACCGGAGGAAAGGAGAGTGCAAAAAGGGAGAGGGCAAAATGAGAGAAGAAGGAGAAGAAGAGAAGAAAAAAAAGTGTTGGTTTTGATTGCTACATGACAAGTTTTACTGTGATTCCCTAATTTCCACAGTTTTTCCACAGATATTCTTCAGTAAATCAGCTGTAAACACCCCCTGCTCCACCCGATACAGTCACCCGTCCTCTATTATTGCCACTCAATTCAGGATAGATATGTGTGATGGACTGAGTGAAAGGCAGGTGGTGTGTGCCTGCGCCTTCTGACTCACTCCATCTCAAGAGTTATTTGACCTTGTTAACCATCAGCCGGCGACTGAATGAGATTCTGCCGCCGAACAACGGCACAGCCGGCCCTCCGCAGCACAGATTGAAAAACTCCAAATCAAATGTGGGAGAATGACACTCCTTAACCAGACATGTATGATCTGTTGGTAACTTCATTGCGAGCATGACCGGTATCATCTCTTCATTTTACGTTCTTGTCAATTTCTTTGAGAGGAGGAGGACTTTCTCCCTTAAAAAGGAGAGGACAAGTAATACATTGCATCCCCCTCCGCAGTCCTAGTCATCAGACTCCCTTTGTGTCAAGCCCTTTCGATGTTTTAAAAGGAGACCAGGTGAAACCAAGGCTCTGCCCCCGTGCACGCGCAGCCATGCTGATTGAGAACGATGTACGCTGTGATGTCAGTCAAAAAAGGGACTTGGTAGTGGATAGGCCTCATGGGAGATACGGGATGAGAGGATTCCTTATCCTGGCTAGCAGTCCATTAAAGACGATGTCCCAATGGCATTCTCTAATCACTCATTTCTCTCCAGCGGGTCGTAACAATGAAGGATCGTAGGGCTTGGACTCGTAATTGGTCATCATGCAACAGAAAATAAATGCCGGCAAATAAAATGGTCAATGAAAGTACAATTGAAGTTGGCGATGTTGTAGGTTGAAGCTGATTTATTACATGTCCAAAGATAAAATCTTGGAATTGTTTGTTTTTTCCAACTAGCAGTTCAAACCCCAAATACCCTCATTTTAAGAAATGAGAATGGAGACACTTATCGGAAGTGAAAGTAATTGAAGGGAAGTCACCTCAATGAGCTTCTTGTGCTTTCTCACTGAGGAAGAGATTTAAAGGGGAAGCGTGAGAAAGCAAAGCATCTTCAAGTAAAGTTCCAAATAAAAAGGGGAGATGCGATCTCGTTCCTTTTTCTCTCTCGTTCTCTGTTCATCCTCCCTGCTTTATTTGCCATTCTCCTGCTTTTACCGGGAACACGTGCATAAAAATCTGTTGTGACCGCTGCCAGAGCCTTGACTGGTGTGTTGTCATGCCAATAGTGTGACTTTGTGCACAAGTTGAGGAGGCCGCGGCACGGCCGGTGTAGCGCTCGTTATATTTAGCCTCTTATTGTAGCGCGATCGCTCAGAGAGTAGATCAATTCTTATTCAGCTTTGGAAACACTGTAAAGCTTGATGCCAGATAGACAATGCGAGACAGATGGGAGAGAGGCAGTGGAACGTGATGGGACAAAAAGAGACAAGAGCCACGTGGGCCGTTTAGATGATGGCCCGGAGGAAAGGGGCGGGAACAAGCAGTTGAATGGAGAGCGAGAAAGATGGGAGTGAAGAGGTATTAGACCGACATGAAGCGTGCAACAATAAAGCCAAGTCCACTACTGTTATAAACTCCATTAAGACGCCACAATGGAGTAAGTCATGACTGAGATTGGTTCACTGGCTCTGTGTCCTACAGATTTGCCCGTAGTCCATCAATTATGGAAAATCATTTTAAATGTCAAAATTTTTAGGCTACATGTTTTATCGATTGAATTTTTTGTCAGTTTATTTCTCGGGAGGAAATTGGGATGTAAGATACAACCTGTACCAACCTCTGAGTAACTTGGCTTGAAACTTACTTCTTCTATACTTAATCAATCCTATTCATTAAAGACAAGTAGTCTCAAACCAGGTTAGTGAATGGTTGCTACAGATTATGTCTTACATCTCAATTTTCTCTCCCAAGAAATATACTTTTGAAAAAAAGGTATAAAATGGAGACACATAAAGCCAACCTGAAAAACCGAGATACTTTCCGGGGAAGAAATGGTACAATGAGGAAAGCATAGCAGCACTTGACTCCCGAGTTGAGCAAGAAATACTACAGCATTTGATTTCCCTCTTCCCCAGTCGGAAATCTAATTCCTGGCATTCGGAGGCCATTTGGAGCAGATCGATGGGGTTAACGCTCGTAGTAATCTGTTTGACCGCCTTGGGAGACAGCCAAGGAAGGTGTGTGTAAGGCGTGTGTGTGTGTGTGTGTGTGTGTGTTAGGGCGGAAGAACCTGGAGATTGAAACTAAAGGGAGGTATAGAGACATTTCTAAAGTTGTAAATCCATAAACAGAAAATGTACTTTTCGGTTGAACACGGCGTGATATCCTGCAGCTCGTATTCACAATGGAAACTAAATCGAGTTTCACTTCAGTTGCTGGATTATGAGCGGAGGGACTTGTTACAATATTCAGCCTGCAGTGAGGTGCGTTTGCACTACGATTCCCTGATAGAGGATATTACTGATGGGACAGCTGGCCAAGGAAGAGCTTTCTTTTTTAAATGCTCCTCAATTCATTCTCTCCGTTACGTTTGCTTCACTCTGACCTTTACCCGAAGTTGATGAGATTCATCCCTATTGATTTATCATTCTGTGATGGCATTAGCTTACTGTCATTATGCTGCTGATAAATCACAATCAATTAGGCTAAATGTGAGGAAACAGCTGCCCAGGAATCATCTCACAATCAATGGGCTAATACATAGTCCTGTAAAGGCACATATTTAAAAAGGTCAGCATACATCAATGCTGCTTTCGAGAAAAATAAAGTGAAACATCAAAACAGTATTAAGTCACTTTTGAGGATTAGAACTCATCCAAAATCCACAACGTTCATTCCATCAGATGAGCATGATGCAATGCAGTGTTTTATAATAAGAGAAAACTAATGAAAACAATCCGAGAAAGAAAAATCTCACGCATATCCATTACCCAACCACTAGAGTTTGGTTCTATTTGAATAAGTCAGCCACGAAACAGCATGAATGCACCACAAAACTCAGTTCCGACATGCAATATTTATGGAACGAACATGTAGAGTGACCTCCAGAGTGAGTATGTGTGTCTGCATGGGGGAACATGGGGGTGACATGGTGACAAAAAGGACCTGATGACAGCACCAGGCTGCCGTTAACCATGATGAAATGCTTTGTTAGCGCTGCGAACACAGGCAGCTGCACATGTCCCTCGTCTAATGGCAAATTACTGCACCCAAATCAGCAAGCTGAGGCTCAACGAAGCACACAAGCCCACACATGCACGCATACTCACCGACAAACAGAAAGAGAGTAAGATTTGGTGTCAGAAGCAATCTGCTCTTCACACACTGCGTTTATTCATGACAAGAACAGCACAGGTGGTCACAGGAGGACAAATCCACGAGAATCCCAAAAATAGGAAACACGGTCGCAGTTAAAGATTGGATGTGTGTGTTGTTGCCTCGTCGGTTAAAGCGTGTGTTGTCATTCACCCACAGTGATATGTTGTGTTTTATAGATAGTGTGGAACCGTGCAATAATGTTACTTCTGTTAATCCAATTAAAAGAACTGCAAGTAACTTCCACCCCAAAACACAGTTAACAAAGTAAGAGGCAGAATTAAGAAAGCAAAGAAATAAATCAAGTATCCGGCGAAGAAAGTAGGTAGTGATCTTAGTTTTGTCAATAATAAATAACTCTCCATAATTTAATAAAGTACTGAATATGAAAATACAGCAATACTTAAAAAGGAGCTTAAGGTATTAGTCAGCGTAAACCCAGTCAGTTATCCACACCGCAATGCTGTCATTTACATCTTAGCAGTGTCAACGCTTCTGAAGTCCCCCAACGTGCATCCATCCTTCCCCCTTATATATATATATATATATATATATATATATATATATACATATTCAATATCATGTCCTGATTTGCAGCATCCATGCAGCAGATGCAAAAAGCCTGTCTCCTCTATCAGCTACTTCTGCCGCCTGCATTCCCTCCTCAACGAATTACTTCCACATCTCAAAGCCAGGAGAGGAAATGACAGGCTGGAAAAAGCGTTTGTTGAAACATGTGCTTCGGCATTATGAAGCCCTATAGAGTTAGCAGGGTGCAGCCAATAGGTCAGATCTGAAGCAGATTATCTATTCCCCCATGCACAAACCGCACTAATCTTCTGAGCTCTGTCATGGCTATCAATACCAACTGCTGACGGAGAAGATAGCAATTTTATAAAGACTCCCCTGGAATGACTCTCTTTGAGGTCAACGGGGTCGTTAACCTGTCAATTAAGGTCATCGCTCCCCGATGATGATTAACTCTGCAAACAGCGGCAACATCTCGCCTACCGACATCCGTACAAACATAAAAGGCCTTCGAGAAGCTACGGCTTCTTGAGCCCCATCAATGAGCCCCTGGGCAATTGAGAGGTCCACTGGGGTGTAACAA